AAGGGACTGAGGTTGGCACTGTTGTCCTGGGGTGTGTGGTCCTGACGTTTGGTCTTGTCTGGGAGGAAGGAGGCAGAATCCGCGTGGATGCAGCTGTCCCCGCCCGCCTGAGCAGCCTGACGTACGTGGGGCAATTCTTCACTGCCGCTCGCTGCTCAGCTAAACGGGATGTGCGCACTGGTTCTTCCGAGGCCCAGACCTTCCCTGCGCACGTAGGGCAGGGCTTATCGTGGGCACTGCCTTCCGGTAAACCTGGAAAGTCTCTCCTGTTCATCTATAAGACACAGCACAGCGACCACCACGGAGGAACCCGGCTCCGCTGCACAGGTGGAGGCTCCCGTCAGAGGTCCTCACAAGCCCACCGCCATCTGCAGTCCGGGAGAGAGCAGACACCGGGCCAGTGCTGTTGGCTCCCAGCTTGGCTTATATAACTCCCAGCTCCTCAAGTCCCTGGAAACTGAGGCCAATTCCCTGGAAGATCATTCTGTTCTGTTTTCTCAAGACGAGAGCCAGCCCCATCACTGGCTCTCAGGGTTGCATGGGAAGGTCCCATTGTCCGTCTTCCGTGAACGGAGTTCTCCCGTCGTGACCATTGTTCAGGCAGGCCGTACTCAAACTGCCCAGCATCTCCTAGACTTCTGTATGTTTGGCTAATATTTTGAAGAATTTTGCTTTATTGATGTAAACCTGCATCTGTTTCCAAAAAGATTCTGTAGGAATTTACAGCCAAGGAAAAAGGCAGTAGGGGGAATGCAGTTGAGAGACAGAAAGTCAGAATCTGGGAGAGGAGACGGGAGTAACAGGACACGTGTCAGGTGGGCACAGGGTCCTGCCTGGCACAGGGGGAAGGCTTTATAGGCTGATTCCTTCCTTTTCTTTTTTAAAAATATTTATTTATTTATTTGAAAGGTAGGGTTACAGAGAGGGAGCGGGAAAGAGAGAGAGGCTTTCTACCTGCTAGTTCATTCCTCAAGTGGCTGCAGTAGCCCGGTGCTGGACCAGGCCAAAGCCAGAAGCCTGGACCTCCATCCAGGTCTCCCACATGGATGCCGGAGCCCAGGCACTTGGGCCATCTTCCACTGCTTTCCCAGGTGCATGAGCTGGATCGGAAGTGGAGCAGCCGAGATATGAACCAGCGCCCATGTGGGATGTTTAACCTGCTGGGCCACAATGTCAGCCCACACGAGGTCGTGTCCTGCAGAAGCCTCACCCATTGGAAGCTGGGGAATCTTTCCCAGCACTAAAACAGTGTCGAGGCTGGTGCTGTGGCATAGCGGGTAAAGCCTCAACCTGCAGTGCCGGCATCCCACATGGGCGCCGGTTCAAGTCCCAGCTGCTCCACTTCTGATCCAGCTCTCTGCTATATCCTGGGAAAGCAGTAGAAGATGGGCCAAGTGCTTGGGCCCCTGCACCCACGTGGGAGACCCAGAAGAAGCTCTTGGCTCCTGGCTTCAGATCAGCTCAGTTCTGGCTATTGAGCCAGCTGGGGAGTGACCCAGCAGATGGAAGACTCTCTCTCTCTGTCTCTGCCTCTCCTTCTCTTTGTGTGTAACTCTGACTTTCAAATAAATAAATAAATATATTTTTTAAAAAGTGTGTCATGTGGGACTTCTTGGGGACATTAGACGTTATAGTGGACAGCTTTTACGTTTATGATAAGAGTGAGCTTTTTTCTTTTGTGTCTGCCGTCCGTTTTGTCAACTTAATGTTTTACTCTTTAAAGAACAGGATTTGATGAGGCTGTTTCTGAAGCTGCCCTTGGGTGGACTGGAGGGAGATTATTGCGAGGTGCTTGAGGAGGCCAGGCTCGTCTGCCTGCGGGCGCCACCGTCCTGCTGCTCATCTGATGCACAAGCCGTGCCGAGAGCACTGAGGGAGCCGAGCCGGAGCCCCGGGGAGCACTGGGGCCTGGGCGTTCTCCGCTGCTTGGGTGGGACTGCAGGCTTTAGGGAGTAGATGCGTAGACGGCAGAGCAGAACAGTCTACACCAGGAGTCCTAGACAGTAACTGGCCCAGGCACACAGCCACCTCTGTGCAGTCCCCATAGCCAGCATGGACACTTATTTCCCCATGGAAGCAGGCCTGAGCCACTCCAGCCCCGAACAGAGGTTGGCCTGAGGCCTAGAGCTCTGAGCAGAACTGGTTCCGATGTGGTAAGGTTCCCACACAGTCGCCCTCTTTGTCCGTGAAGACCCTCCCAGATGCCCCAGAGGGTGAGCAGATGGCTAGGGCTGGTGCCACGTGACCTGTGCACTCTTGCTCATCCTGTTCCACGCTCACTGTGGTCAGGTTGCTCAGGCATTTGAGAGGCAAGACCTGGCCCAGGGACCAGGGAAGGCCTGGTCAGGAAGCTGCAGGGCCCTGGGGGCTACCATTCTGCTGTAAGAGCTGCTGGCCTCACCCAGTAACCAGGGCAGGTCCTGTGGGACAGCGCGAGTGGACCCTGCTGGCCTGGTCTTGCCGGTGAGCAGTGAAGCAGCCCTCAGAAGAGAGGAGGGCAGCTAACGGGCTCTCCTCATCCGGGACCAGCCCCTCCTCACCCAGGAGCAGCTGACCGTAGCCCTGGAGGCCGACGCCTTGTCTTCTGACAAGTAAAGCTTGGCATTGGAGAACCCTTGTGCTGTCACTTTAACCTTAATGAGACTAGAGCAAGCCTCTGGAACAAGGTGCAGTGGAGTCGGGAGAAGTGGCCTTAAGTGAAAACACAGCTGCGGGCTCCCACGCGGCACTGCGGGGGGGCGTCGTCGGTGGGCGCGCCAGCCGCGCCGTAGCCCTTCCAGCACTAACGAATCGGGAACTCCGTGCTGAACAGGATTTAGTTTGAGGGGCCCCTGTGCCAGCGGATGGATGTATTTTTCTTGAAAGGCCGAGGTGCCAGAAATCTCCGTGATTACGTTACTGGAGCAAGGTCCTTTTTTGTGGTTTGTGAAGTTGAGCGTCAGGACTGCAGGATTCTCTTGCTCTTTCTCACTCTTATTTTTTCCAGGTCAGAACCAGAGCTTGGGGTGGGGAGGAAAATCCTGCTGAATGAGCAAGTTCTTTCTTAAAAAGCTCTCTCCAAGTCCAAAAAGACTTCAGTGGACTTAGGAGAAAGAAATTCAATACATGGCCATAGAATCGCTGTTAACCAAGTTAAAGCAAAGTGCACGGCATCTTTGTCTTATAAAAGAAAGCAAAGAGGAGATGGAAAAAAAGAAATAATGCTTAGGAAATCCAAACCAAACAGTGAAAACCAAGGAGGAAAAACTCAAGGTCACCTCGGAGACTGTGAAGACTTCCTTCTAATACGATTGTGCAATTACGAAGCCAGAGCCCCAGGTAGACCGCACGCTTCTGTTCTTTTTTTAAGTAGGCCCGGAATGGTGTCCCCGGAATGGTTACCCTCTGGTAGCGTCGGCCACTTTCGGCTCGGGGAAGAGTTGGACACCCTGCAAGGCCATGCCCTGGAGGGAAGAGTCGGCCCTGGGGAGGCTGGAGGCTTCCCAGGCTGGTCCTTGCCCTGTGCGTGAACCTGAGTCCTAATAGCTAGCAGATTGAAGCAAAGCTCACAGGCCTCCCAGAGAACCCGTGTTGGGCTGAACTGGAGCAGCTGCAGCCAAAGAACCAACACTGACTCTGACCAGCGGCCTCTCCCAGGACACCCCCGCGAGGGGCTGTCAGCTGGGCGCCTGCGCCCCCTGCTCCGACCTAGAGCAGCCTGCAGAGATCACCAGCCACCCCGTCCTGCCGGAGTCACCAGTGTCTTCCAGGACGGGGGCAGAGAGAGCCAGCTACCCAGGAGAGGTCGTCTTGGAGCCAGTGTGCACATGGCACAGAATTCCTAAGCCTTAACCTCATGTTCGGTCCTCCCAAGGTCAGGCCAAGAGTGTTCAAAAGCACCCTAACCAAGGTCGTGTCGTGCCCAGTGACCTGTGTGATATGTTCTCCAGGGGGGTGTCGCTGTGTGGGTGGGCCAGCCATGCACCTGAGTGAACGAAGACTGTCCTGCTCCCTGGCCCAAGGGACGCCTGGCCCACATGCTTGGCCACCCTTTCCTGTCTCGTCCCATCACTCTTTGTGGCTTACTATGAACATAACCTGGCCTGCTCGCTTCTCTGGGCTGAGATCCAAAGTAAAGCCACATGTCTTTTAGTAGTTAAACTCAGTGACCACATCCCCCTGTCCCCCTGCCTGGCCTGGGACATCATTCCTCCCGGAAGATCTCTCTGCAGCGTCATCCTAGCAGCAATACCTGAGGCCCCGCAGAGGCCTCCCCAGTCCTCAGCCAGCGGCACTTTGCCTCCCCTGTGGCCACCCCACCCACAGAGCCCAGAGGGGCCGCAGGAGGCCTGCCCCTGATGCTCCCACAGAATCTGGAGTAAGGGCCTCTCCTCACAGGGGTCCTGACCCCTTCAACTCACTGCAGCTGCTAGCGCTCTCGCCTACAGCCCCCTGGGGCCATTCCCTGGAGCAGGAGGCCCAGGCCAGAGGACATCTCAGTAAATGTCCTGTGTTCTGACTGCCCGGGGCCTGCCCCCGACCGGGGGGCCTCTCAGCCTGAGCCCTTGGCAGCAGACTTCCATCTTCTGCCCCGTGGAGGGTGGCCTGTTCTCTATTGCCGCGAAAGCCTTGCCTCTCCCTGGCCCCATTTCAAGGCTTCCTCCCTCTGCTGGCAGAGGGCAGGCGTGGCCTGTGACGGCCGCCCTGGGTCCACGGCTTCCTTCCGCCTTCACCCGGTACTGGGAGAGACGTGCAGTTGGAAACTGTCCACCCAGGGAAGCCCATTCCCGGGGAAAGCCGGGCAGAGTGGGCTCTTCTGCTTGGTGTGGTGGCTGCCCCGGACGGGACGGAGCCTGCGAAGGCCCTGAGTGGCTGTCCGTCTGCCAGCTAACTTTCCAAGCCGAGCCTTGGCTAGAGCCACCACGCAGGCAGGGGTGGCAGCCGGTAGGCCTGCCTGTGACCTGGCCATCCCAGAAGCACTGTGGGGGAGGCCCGTGTCCCTGTTCAGGGCCTCTGACACGATGGACCCGCCGCTGTTGCTGATTGCATCTGAGCTGCTGCCGCCCGTCCAGGGGCACAGGCTCCGGGGGGTAGGCAGCCGTGAGGCAGAATTGCTTCCGGAAGGAGAGGAGGCACGGAGAACACAGGGGCACAGCTGGACTCTGCTGTGGACACATGCATGGCAGCACGGAGCCGCCTTCTCAGGGACAGGAGGACGGGGCAGGCTGGTGGAGACGGGCAGCAGGAGGAAGGCCACCCAGGTAGAAGGGAGCTCGTCCAGACCCTGCCTGCAGCGAGCTGTCCAGTGAGCTCACTCGGGCCCTGAGCCCGCCCTGGCCTCAGGGACTCCTGTGTCTATCCCAAGGGCCGCGGATGGACACAGCCTCAGCACACAGGCACCCAGCCGGCCCTTTATCACAGTCCATGCCCGTTCACGTGAGCAGCCAACCTGCTGCGTCGAGTCATCTTTGTGTTGCCTACAGCAGGAAGCCATCAAAAGCTAGGAGGGAGGCGTTCTGTGGGGTTTGTGTTGTAGGGAGGAGGCTCAGCTTCGTGGAGGAGAGGGAATTAGGAGAGCAGAGCCAAGGCCTGGGTGGATGTGTTAGGTATCAGTGGCCTCAGGAGAAGCGATGAGCAGTGACAAGGACAGCGGGGTCAGCAGGCAGCAGGGGCCAGGCCTGCCTCGGGGGGCCTGGCTCTCCTTTCCTGCCGTCTTGTGGTTCTGCTCCGTTCCCAGGCTGGTAGCAGGCTGGCTGCAGCGGCTGTGGCCTCACACCCAGAAGCACTCAGCACGCGTCCTCTCATCACTCGCTGGCCTTGGTGGGCACACGTGTCCATTCCGGAACCAGGTCCCAGGCCGGGAAAGGCCAGGCAGTGATTGGCTTGTTTCCGGTCACTCCCTGTAGGTCAGCTGGGATGACCTGCGAGCAGCCGGGTTCAGGCCTGCAGCTAGAGGTCGGGCTGACTAGCTGACCGAAGCCAGGGTGTCATTAGGAAGGAGGGGTGCCTGCTCCCGCGCATCCATGCCTGCTCCAGGGACCAGCTGGACCCGTCGTCGCTGCACTGGACTGTGCACGTTGTGGGCACCTACGTGCACAGCTGTGGTTTGGTGTATCTGGGAGACTCTGTCATCTTCCTGGACGAGTTTCAAACCTCACAGCAGGTCTGCCGTCTCCGCCCTCACCCCCGAGCCCCCACCGCTTCCCCTCTAGGATCTTGCAGGTGACCGTCCCTCTCCAGAGTCAGACACACAGCCTGCTGCCCACCCAGCCTTCAGCTTGCCCACGGCTCCTGTCCTTGACCTTGGACGCCTGGGAGGCCAGTGCAGCCACGTGGTTAGCAGCATGCACCACACTTCGTTCTGCCACAGCCTTGCTAACTTGGCCCAGATCCTAGAATTCCTGTGAAGGGGAGGGGGGTGGGGGCAGGAACCAACCTTGCAGCCTGCTGTGAGGGTTAGAGAAGCTCACACGCTTAAAGATGCCGAGGACGGAAGTGGCTCAGTTCATTCCAGCTCCGTACAGGACGCCTGCCGCCCAGACCCTCAGCTTCCCCATCAGACCTCCCATTTTCAGTTCCTTCCCGGTCCCCTCGGCTGCCCTGGCCCATCTGTAGTTGTGTTGGGTCTGCACTCCCTTGCCCCGTGAGTCTGCGCTCACACCGCCCCGGGCGTCGGTCAGCTGTGGAGCACTCTGTCCAGGTGGACGGATAAAGCCAGCAGCTGGCCAGTGGTGCCTACAGTGACCGCAGAGCCTTGGCCTCCGTGGGTCCCTAGTGCTCTCTGGCAGTCTCAGGCCCTTCCCTGGCCACCTGCTTGTCCCTTGCTCCAGAGAAGCCACGTCAGACCTTCGTCACTATCCTCAACCTTCCACTTCTTGCCTCACAGAATTCTCCACTTCTCTTTATTTTTTTTTAAGATTTACTTATTTATTGAAAGTCAAAGTTACAGAGAAGAAAGGGAGAGACAGAGAGAAAGACAAAGAGGATCTTCCATCCCTGGTTCACTCCCCAGATGGCCACAACGGCCAGGACTGAGCCAAGCTGAAGCCAGGAGCCAGGAGCTTCCTTCAGGGCTCCCACGTGGGTGGCAAGGGCCCAAGCTCTTGGGCCATCTTCTGCTGCTTTTCGCAGGCCATTAGCAAGGAGCTGGATCGGAAATGGGCAGCCAGGACATGAACCGGCGTCCACATGGGATGCTGGCATTGCAGACAGAGGCTTAACCTGCTGCGCCACAGTGCCGGAACCTAAATTCTCCATTCCTTGCAGATAATTTGACCTCTTAATTCTCAGGAAAAACCAAAAATCTCACTAGGACATTCTAAATCCCCTCTGCCTCCCTGGCCATGCCTCCTCCCCACATGGAGAAGGGCTCTCCTCCCGTGTGTTGGATTCCAGAGACCCCAGCTCTTCAGCCATCTCTCTGTCTCCCTCTCTCTTTCTCCCACCCCTCACGCTGCCCAGCCACTATAGTGCCTCCTTGCTGTTGGGAGCTGCAAATTCACCCCCTTTCTGTCCCACGCCCTAGCGTCTGACCCCACCCCATCTCCTCGCCTTGCCCCGTCGCCATCCCTGTCAGTTTGCTGCAAGAGTAGTGTACAGTCATTTCATCCCCCGCGTGCTTCTCTCCGCTCCTGCTCTGCCCCGGGGGCTCCCTGTTTTGGTTGCTGGTCCTCTCCCACTTGACTTCTTAGAAAGATGTACAGCTGCTGACCGCTTCCTCCTTAAGGTGTATCCTCCCCTTGGCTTCCATCCTGTTGTAACTCAAAACTCCAGGGCCACTCCTCCTCCACCTCCACTGCCCAGCTCTTAAATCCAGGTGTTCCCAGAATTCTGATCAAGATCCTCTTTTTATTCTGTGCATTCTCTGGACAATCTCATTCCCTGTAACAAGCTCCAGTCGCCATCTTACTCACCATCTGTAGGCTCCCAAACTTGTGCCCCCAGATTACAGCCTCGTAAATTTCAGCTGCATAACAGCAGTCATGCCCACTAGCTGCTTCCCAGGTGCCTTAAAATCCGCAGTCCCAAACTGAGTCGCCAAACTTGCTGTTCCTCTTTGCTGGGGGAGTTTCAGCACCAACTACCCTGCTGCCCAAAGGAGAGAATCTCTAGTGTCATCTCTGACCGCGCCCACTCCTGCAGACTTCACCCCCAGGCCATCCCCAGGCCTGTAATGCTGGACCCTCCACTTCCTCATCTGTCGAAGGAAGTAGTGACGCCTGATCCAAGTGATCGTTGCAGTACGTAGTTTTCCAGTCAGTGGATATGGGTGCTCCCCCGTGCTAGTCCACCCAGCCCCGCCTCTCCTGCCTCGCCAGTACTGATAGTGTGTGCCCAGGTTCCTGACTTGGAAAAAACCCCTGGAATTATGCTTCTGTGTGAGTCAGCTTTTTGTTACTGTAACTGAAATCCCCCAGGAGGGGCTTCTTGGGAAGGAAAAAGTTTTTGTGGGCTCGTAGCTTGGAGGGTGTAGTTCAAGATCGGGCAGCCCCACCGTCTGGTACCTGGTGGAGACTGGGCATGGCAGGTGCAGAATGATCACCTGGTAAACCAGGAAGCAGAGAACAGCTAGACAGAACTTGAGCTCAATCAACTCTCTCATGAGAACCACCCACTGAGGACACGCCCCCAGCGACCCAGAGACCACCAGATCCACCTCCTAGACACCACAGTGATCAGCTCTCCTCCCGTAAGCCACCAACAAGCAACATTAAGATGTCAGCGTGTAGACGAGGGCATGAGTGTTGGGAAGACTAGTCCTGCTCAACCCCGAATGGCTCTCTACAGTGCCTGGTTGACTGAGGCCGTGGCTTCGGTCTCAGCACGTGCTCTCTCAGTCCTGGGAGATCTGGGGAGGACTGGGGCTGGGAGGCACGTTCCAGATGTCACCGTCGTGGAGTTTAAAGTGTGTGCGCTTGCACATTTTGCTGGTCATGTCTCTGCTTTCTCCCAACACTCCCGACCCCACTGCCCCGCGAGGCCTGCCGTTCTGCAGACTGTCCCTCTTCCTCCAGCCCAGTGCCCACCTGCCTGTCAGAGTAGAATGGCCTTGCACTCTGAAATTGCCGCGGCTCCTCCTCTCTGATGAGATGCAGCCCGCTCACAGCTGCCTTGCCTGCTCAACTCCCTCACATCCTGGCACCAGCTTGGGGGCGCAGCCCTCTCAGACCAGCACCCCCTTGCATGATAAGGGAGCAGGAAGTGTACTTGGATACTGGCCGACACTCAACACTACATTCTTGTGCCTGCTGGCCAGCAGGACATGCAGAAGATACCTAAGACCAGCAGTAGTGGGAACAGGGACCAAGAACCTCGGGAGACCCCCAGGGGACTTACAATTCTGCAAGGAAGTAAAAATCACCAGTCAGGGGCCAGCGTTGCCGCGTGGGGGATTAGGCTGCAACTTGTGTGTCCAGCTGCCCATGTCAGAGCACCGGCTCAAGTTCTGGTTGCCCCACTTCTGATCCAGCCCCCTGCTAACGTGCAGCAGGGAAAGCAGCAGCAGATGGCCCAAGTGCTTGGGGGACCTGGATGGAGTTCCTGGCTCTGGCTTCAGCCTTGCCCAGCCACAGGCTGGGACTTGACCCACTGTACTACAGTGCTGGCCCCAGTAGCGTTAGTCTTTTGCCCAATGCAATGTCTGCTTTTCATGGCGAGTTATAAAGCACAAAGGAAGTGAAGGGGTCCTGAGCCATCACACCTCGCGGTAGCTGCTGTATTGTTTTCCTCTCTTTCCTTCCAGTCTTTCTTCTGTGCAGTCGCCGTGCCTTTTCACATAGTTTTCATGGTGTGTAATCAGAAGTGTGTCCTGCTCTATCTCATCATCCCAGATATTTCCAGGTTCGTGAAGATTCTTCATAAACCATGTAACAGCTGCCTGCCATTCCACTCCTGACAGTTCCTTTAACTTTCCGTTAGTGCCAGTCTTCTGGCGTCCTTCCAATACATAGCACCTATTTGCAAGTAAAGTTCGGCCTCCTACATTTCTGATAACCTGTTGAGCCATCAATCCATCCTCGGGTATGAATCCATAACTTGATAAGAAAACTTCGAAGCAATGCAGACTTTTGAAAGAAAAGAATGAATGTAGGTCAGAGCCCAGGTGCAAAGAGGGAGGCAAAGAGAAAGATGATACCTGATAGGTTGTAAAAGTGAACTGCTTTTTGTTTTACCGAGAGGTCTGAGGACTCACAAGCAGTACTCTGCAGGGAAAACGTGCCTTGACTTGGAGTCTCTGGCCTCGTGATGGTAAAGAAGGTTTCCTGGCTTTGTGTTTTCATCTGGGTCAGCAAGAGGACAGCCCATTCCGTGAGCGCCTTTGCCTCCAGGGAAGAGAAAGCCGCCCAGCCTCCAGTGATGCAGATGATTAGCTGGGCTGACAGCCTTGCAGTTAAAAACACAATGACTGGGACAGTGTCTCCTCCTAATGTGCAGTTAATTTTAGTTAAAGTCCCTGGTGAGGTTGTAGCTGGAGTCCTTGGCGCCTCCCCCTTCCCACGTCCACAGCCAGACTTCTGACTCCCCGCGCACCCCACAGGCAGTCTTCCCCCTCGGCAGTGCAACATCCGCCTGCCTGGGTGTCCAAATCAAAATGCGAACCATGCTTGAAGTCCTCCCGTCTGCCCTCACTGCCCCAGGGTCAAACCCACCGGCCTGTCCTGCTGCTGCTGCTTCGGAAACGGGTCTCGAGTGTCCGTGTCTCTGCAGCCCGCAGCCCCAGCCCCGCCACCACTCTCCCTGACTACTCACTGCCTCCTCCTGCAGCCCTGCTCCCCCACTCAGTCTGCTGCTGTCTGCACAGTAGCCGGAAGACAGACTTGGACCACACCGTCCGCCTCTTCCTTAGAGCAGGTCAGAGGCTTTGCTTCGCCATTGAGGTAAACGCCAAAATCCGACGTGGCCAAGAAGGCCATGTATCTTCTGCCTGGCCATGCGCCCCATCCCCTGTATCTGTTGGGGTCTGGTGTCACCAGCCATCCTACAGTTCTCGCAGCTCCAGCCCCGGGGCCTGTGTGTGCTGTGCTCCGTGCCCAGGAGGTCCCTGCTCCCGTGGTCTAGGTAACCTCCTCCCTCCTTCCCTCGTCGCCAGTCTGCCTGGGTCAGGTTGTTTCTTCCTTTCACAGAGACCCAGGGATCTTCTTTCCTGCTTTCCTGTCCTTCAGAGTTCTGTAGAGCTGCTGCATACTCACGTGTGGTGTTGATGGACTGCTGTCCGTCTACACCGCCAGCTGCAGGACAGCCGCCCCTTCCCCTCAGCCAGCTCAGCGTCTGGCAAGGAGCAGGTGCTTCATACGTGCCCACCGCATGCTGTGTGAGCACAGGGAGTCCTAATAGCCGTCCCCAGTGACAACAGGGTCCCCATCACATGTGGGCTCCTCCCGGGTAGGAGGCCCAGGCTCTGCACATGTTTGCTGGAGGGAGTGTGGTTTTGCTTACTTGATTTTGGTTTGGTTTGGTTTGTTTGTAATCAGCTGTTGGCATGAACAGAGCATGCAGCCCAAGCTTACTTTCTCTCCTCTCTCTTTAGCTAAAGCTTGCCTTCACCCTGGACCAGGAGACTGGAATGCCCCAAGGATGTCATGTCTACGAGTACCGCGACAGCAACAAGTAAGCCACGTGGTGGCCGAGTGTCACCACGCCGCGCCGGGCGGGCACCGTGTGCATTCCCACGCTGGGCTTCCGTCGCCGAGGGGGTCACGCTCTGGCCCCCAACTAGGAGACAGCTGGCACCGAGCCGCACTGGTGGGAGCTGCGGCACTCGTGCAGAAGTTGCATGTGTTAGAGGTGTGCTCCGGAGCAGACCCCCTTCCCAGGCTCTCGCCGTGTTCCGGGCCCACCTGTCCCCTCCCGGTCTCAAGTCCTCGCCGCCCCCGCTCCCAAGCGCCACGGTGGCGGTTGTGCCGCGGCTGCCTGCCTGTGCCTGCAATTACGGGTTTTGTTGTGATTGGCTCCCTTGGGTGTTTGAAGCTGGGAGACTTGTGAGCATCTACAGAAACGCAGACTAGTGGCCACTGCAGACAGACAGGTAGCCCGGGCACAGTTTTGTAGCCTCCCTTCCCTTCCCTCACCTCCTAGCCCCTCCTTCCGTCACCTCCTCGGCTGTGGCTTCTTTGTGGGCAGTGATGTGTGGTGGGTGACTGGCCCTCGTGATGACAATGCCACTGCTGGTGGCAGCCGTCGCTGAGCACGGTGCTGGGGAGTTTACGTTCCTAATCCCGCTTAATCCGCCCAGCAGCCTGGGGAGTGTTCTTTCATTATTTTCAGAACCTGAAGCCTAGGGCAGTAAAGGAATTCACAGCAGGGACCTTGGCCTGGCTGTGAGAGATGGCCACACTGTCAGGGTACTCCAGGACTGGTGAGTGAGACACCTGCCCCAAGCTGCCATTCAGCGTGGACGCCCAGTCAGCGGCCTTCCTTTCTGGGTCTTAAGACCTGGGCCTTATTTAAATATCTAGGCTGCTTCATTGTGTCCTGGGGCAGGAAAGTGGTCTGCGCGTGCGGGCAGTCTTGCACGGCACCTTCCAGAAGAGACCTAGTGCTTGCTCGGGGACTCTTGCTCTGCTGTGGGGAGAAGACAGGTTACTGGGTGCCCTTGGGACCCGCTCTCTGCCCTGACATCGTTGGGCTTCGTGTGTTGCCTTCAGGAGGGTGCTGAAGTAAGCTGTCGTGTGTGCCCCGTTCCCACCAGTAAATCACAGGAGAGCTTGACCAGGCATCTGCAGTGCCGCATTCCCCCTCGGCTCGGCCCTGCCTCTGGAAGACAGTCCCAGAGTCTGTTCCTTCGGCCAGAGCAACCATCTCAGCTTCTCCTAACCCTGAATACAGCAGACAAGTAGGGCTGTGTTCCACAAGGGTCCAGGGATCGAGGGGGACACGTCCCTGGGGTCCCGGGCAGGCACTGCAGGGGAGAAGGAGAAACGCAAACCGTGAGCCGCACGGCCGCCCTCCTGCCCTCTCCCAGGCAGCGCCATCCTGGGGGTGCCTGTCGGAGCTTCCTGGATGGCAGCTCATGCTCGCAGGCTGCGGCAGCAGAAGAATCTTGAGACCCAGCAGTGCTACAGACTCCAGTTCCAGCCTGAGGCTCTGCTCTTCGCAAAAAGGTTGTGGACAAGGGCAGCAGCCCTGCTCCGTGGCAGTTCAGTGTCCGTGACAACATCCTGACAGTGTCTCTGAATCTGAGATGTCTGGAGAGTGAGCAAACAGATGGGAGCTCTTGCACGCTCATCTCCCCTCCCTCCCTCCCTCCCTCTCTCTCTCTCTCTCACTGTCTTCTTCCCTCAAATGGAAAAAGACAGAAACCAAACCCAGTGAGTATGCATGAAGACCCCCTAGAGTGCGTCGTTGCCACTGAGTGCACAGAACGTCCACTGGGAGTGTGGTCGTGTCCTCCGAGTGGCACATTCAGCTCCTAGCTGCCCGCTTCCACACGCCATGGCAGCACCTGCGGCGTGGGGACCAGGGCAGAGGCTGGTGCATGAGCCTCTCACGGCCCTGGCCCGTGTGCAGAGCACTCTGTGCCAAGGCAGCTCCCTGGCTTAGGGGTGAAGCCCAGAGAAGCCCTGAACCCGACTTTTGCTCTCGCCTCGCCCTGCCCCAGCTGCCTTAGGGCCATTTCCCTTAGAATGCCTGCAGGCAGATGTTGGCATAATAGTGGCAGTTAGGAAATGGGGTCTCAGCCCAGGCCCTGAGGAGTCCACACTGTCTCCAGCCAGGAGACAAGAAGGCAGCAGCAGCAGAGACGGACTCCCACGTGAAAGAAACTCACGTGAATATAGTCTGGTGCACTCACCGTGGAAACGCGTGCTTCTCTTTGCTGGATGTTCCCTGCAGTAGGGTTTGTCATCATTGTCACGTGGCCTGTCCTCCCAAATGCCCTTTCCTTTCAAACTGATGCTGCCACCAAGGCTCCTGAGCCAGAGGGAGGAACTGGGCTTCCGCCCCCAGCCAGGGAGCTCTGTGACCCAGCCCACCTGCCGCCCTGAGGGCCCATCCTCCACCCCCTGCAGGGACCCCTGTGTGCCACCCCGCCCCCCGCCCTCCAGCCCCCACACAGCCTGTGAGCAGGCCATTTCCTGTTTCTAGAACACCGTTCTACCCCATAGCCACGCCCTCCCATCTCAGTAACCCCTACTCTCCTTCCATGCTCAGCCAAAAACTCTGACCCTGGTCACCCTCAGCAAAGCTGAATCAGATGTGCCTTCCCCGGGGTCCTGTGCCACCCGAGTCATTGGTTTCCTGTCCGCTGCCTTCACGAGGCAGGGCCCCGAGCTCAGGGCTTCATTTTGTTTGTTTCAGTGCCATTAGTGCTTGGCCCAGTACCTGGAAAGCGACGCTTGATTGAAGGGAAGCAGAGGAGACCTGAGTGTGTCCTCGCAGAGGGGAGCCGTGGCAGGAGGTGGCTCGGATCCTTGGGGGGTGAGGTTCCGTGAACCTGACACGGGGAGCGCTGTCTCCGTGGATGGTTAGGACTAACCTGGACGGGAGAGGCTGTATAAACGTGGCTTAGCTCTAAGCCGAGTAGTGATCGTCGGCGTTTACATTAAGTGCCTGCCATTTTTTGCCCAAGAGTGAAGCGTGGTGACAATCACCAAGACCGTCACATTTGTCAGAGTAACGCGTGGAAGCCAGGTGTGGCTGCAGGCGTGTGAGCCGTGGAGCCGACAGCGAGGGGCGCTCCTGCCCGCGGCATGCCCACGGCTCACCAGCCCTGGGCTCGGGCCTCGCCAGGTCATTGTTAATCTTTTACTTTGCCTGATTCATAAATTAAACTCTATCATAGATGTGTGTGTATAAGAGAATACGGTAGAGGTCGGTGTTCAGAACCATCCCCTGGGGATCTTGGAACGCATCTCCCGTGGGTGAAGGGAGCCTGCCATTGCCTCTTCCTCCCTCAGCAGACCCAGCACACCCCCCTCAGACCCTGCTGCGCTGACTCCCAGAAGCAGGTAGGGGAGAGACCTCGGCAGGCCTTCTGGCACCGGGGCGTGGCTGGCCTGCCAGGGAAAGGAGGGCTGATGGGGCCTTGCAGTTTGCTGCGAGGGGCCCTGGGTTGGCCGTTAGCCTTCTGCACGGGGTGTCCCTGTGGGCGCTGTGGCTCTGGGTTCCCCAGTGCTCACAGCAGCGCCCAGTGATGCACCGGCGTCCCAGCAGGTCTCCGGGCAGCTGAGCTGGCACTTTGTGCCAGGCCCTGTCCATGGCCACGTGCAGCTGGGACAGTGGGGGGGGGGGCGGTGCCCAGCTCCATCCCACTTGTTCCTCGCAGCCACCCCAGGCCCCCCTAGGATCAGCCTGAGCGTGCTGAGAGGCAGATGCCGAGCAAAGGTGGGGTGTGAGGGGTAGAAGGGGAGAGGTGGGAGAAGACCACGGCGTCTCAGCCCCACCCAAGACTGACCCTGGGGAGGAAACTGCAGGAGGGAGGTCGGGTGGGGCGTCCCAGGATGCAGCCTGGTTTTAGGCAAAGCTCAGCCAGGCCAACGAGAAGTCCTCAACCCAGAGCCACAGTTGCCTCTTAGAGGAGCCTCGGCCCTTGTAGGCCGTGGGCTGCATCAGGGCCCAGGAGCGTGCACCTCGCCGGAGGGGAGCAGGCCTCCCGCGGCCCCAGCAGGAAGTGTGGCTGCAGGTGACTGCATGTGGGTCAGGGCAGCTGCAGGGGCCAGGGGGCTCCTGGGTCAGTGCCAATGCCTGTGTCGTTTGTTTCTCCTTCTACTGGCCTCTTCCTCTTCCTTCCCCCTGAATAAGCAAAGTGAGCAACTTCAGACCGGCACCAGCACTCCCCTGTGCTTTGGGAATGACGTGTTCTGTCGACACGGGGATCTGGTGCCAGCTCCTCAGGCCACAGTGCAGCCATTGTTACCCAAGAGCCATCCATGGCAGAGGGGGAGAGCCCCGGGGCTCCCGCAGGTGCTCCAGGTCAGAACCAAGAATGCCATTCTTGTTCCTGGTGAAACCCGGCTTAGGAGAAGAGGAGCAGGAAGCTGGGGGCGAGGAGGGGCTTTGGGGGGGCGGGGAGGTTGCGGGTGAGGCTGCCAGGGAAGAGCCGGGGCAAGCTCTCGGGAGCAGCCAAGGCCGTGGTGTGCGCGAGGCCACCGGGACCCATTGCCGCTGGTGCTGTCTGGCATCAGTTCCGTGTGGGCAGGACTACTGCACAAAATGCCCATCCCAAACTTGGTGTTGGACTCTGACGTGCACAGAGAATAGTGTACAAGTCGTAAGATTCTAATTCAAGGGAGTATTAGAAGGGGAGAACCCAGGAATAGCACGTGACAGCCCCAGGGGTCTCCTGCGTGTCCCTTTCCTCCAAAAAGGATACCACCAGTATAACTTCTAACACGAGGGGTTAGTATGCCTGGCCTTGAACTTGGTATGAATGAGATGCTCGGTTTTGTGGTTCTTCTCTCTGTGTTATGTATGTGAGAGAATGCGCCCATTGCTTGCACCTAGCTTTCATCCATTCATTTCCATTGCTGTAAGACTGGCCTCTGCATGAACACACCACAGTTTATGCAGCTGGCATTAATCCCGTCGACATTTAGGCTATTTCCAGTTTGCAGTTACTAGAAATAACTGCTCATGCGTGTCCTTTGGTGCAGGGGTGTGTGTGTTTCTTT